TTTTATGTTCTCCATCAAGTCTCATCTACCGCTTTGCCCTGTCCAGATGTTCTGAATTTCTCTCATGGCTCATAAAGCTGTTTTATGTGGATTGAGGCTTCCTGCAGAAATAACGTACATTTGTGTGCTTTTTGGCTGTTCCCTCTCCTGCCCCAATCTCTCACAGGTGTTGTCCCCATTGATGCGACCCCAAGCAAGCCGTACGCTGAGTGCTACCGCGTGGTGCTGGACGGTGCAGTGGTGGGCTGGGTCGAGTGGGACCTGGCTCCTCAGGTTGCAGAAGCCCTCCGGCGATTCAAGGTTGTCCTGTTTAAAATGTGACTTACCTAAACGTGCTCCATATGCAGTGGTCAGAAATAAACCAAAAGCCTCCAGAGCTCTAAAGCAGCCTAACTTCTATCTGTCTTTTAAGTCTGACTTAATCATTTATCTTTATTTATCTTTGTCTGAATGTTAGTGTTAGGTTTTTTGGTTTTTCTTGTATTTGTTCTAAGTTTGGTCTCTTGGTTTATGATGTTGCCATTGTTATGAGAATTCTTTTGTTTTTTTTTTTTTAGCATGGTAGAAGTATTCTTGGCAGAGATATTGCTAGAAATACCTTCTAAATTTGCATTTCACTATTTTATATTAATAGCTACGTCTGTGGATTTGTGGTTTGTGTTTCCATTGTGGGTGGTAACCTAGCCTGTAGGGTGCAGCTTAACTAAAACAATATTGTTTTGTATTCCTAAATTAATATTCCTTTACACAACCAGATAACACAAGAGAAGAGATTTCCTGCGCGGGCAGAAGTGGTCCTTATCCCAATGACAGGAAAACCCAGTCTGTATCCTGGGTTGTTCATCTTCACTACCCCTTGTCGAATGGTGCGGCCTGTCAAAAACCTGCTGTATGGAAGGAAGGAATGGATTGGTACTCTGGAACAGGTAGGTTTTGCATATTTCAGTTATTAAATGCTGGCTGTTACAGCAGTATCCTGCATCAGAAGCAGTATTTTGTGAAGTGTTTGTCAAAGGAGCTGAGAATGGGACATAGGTAAAGTGCTGAAGAGCTGGAATAGGTGGCAGAAGAGGTTTCTCATTTCTAGCTAATGAGTTTTTGATACTTTCCTTAGAGGTAGAATGGAGAAGTCTTTTTCAAGTTCTGATGTCTGCTTTCAGTTTGAACGTAGTGAAAGTTTCCTTAGGTAAATGATCGCTGTCTCATCATTTTTTATGTCACGTTCTGCAAATTGCCAGTGAGCAGCCAAGTAGTGGCTTGTCTGGGAACGTGATAACTTGGAACAATTAAGATGAGAGAGTGGAAGTGCGATGCGTATCGCAGTTTCGTACTTCCAGACTTGCTTTCCTTGCAGTTGTCTGGGATTGTGGTAAAGTAGTTCAGTAGTTGTCTGGTGTTTTTCTTGCCTGGGCTAAGGTACAGTCAGCAACCACAGCTGAAACTGAAATGAAAAGTCACTAGGCTTTGTTGCTAGCAGCTTTGTCTTGCTTTCTGTCCAACCTGTCCAATGTGATTCTTGCAGGTCTTCATGAATGTGGCCACCATGGAGTCAGACATTGTCCCTGGAGTCACCACCCACCAGGAGCTCTTCCCTCACAGCATTTTGAGTGTGGTGGCCAACCTCATCCCCTTCTCTGACCACAACCAAAGTCCTCGAAACATGTACCAGTGCCAGATGGGTAAGTCCTGTAGTACCTACAGCTGCAAGTCTCCAAGTAAGGAAGAGGGGGGGAAAACCTCTGGCATATGTATCCCCATATTTCCACATGGCAACTCTTACCAGCAGTTCTTACAGCTCTAAAGTTGATTACCATGAAATAAGTGACTGTTAAAGAAGTCAAGTTTATCATCCAGGCAGCCTTCCAGAGGGCAGTTTCCAATTGTAGTGCTCACAGTGCCTGAAGTCTTTGGGTTTTTTTTTTTTTGTAGGCTTTTTCTTTTTAAATTTGAGGTTGTTGATATACAGATTAGCGTGGGGCACTGCACCAGCTGCTTGGGAGTGTCAGTATTAACAACTGTGCTGGCAGGAGTCCTCTCATCCCCCAGCTGGCAGAGGTTGACCTGCTTCTCACAAGCAGCAAGGGTAAATGCTTTGAAGTGGTGGGGGTTTCTTTGCACCTGTTTTCAGTGACTGCACTGTCACTGACTGCAGCTTTTGAAAGAGCAGTTACTGGACATTTGTTGCAGGATATTAAAATGGCACCATGGCAGCAGTTCTTCTCTTTTTTTTTTCCTGCCAGTTATTTGATTAACTTGGTTGTCTGCAGGTAATTGGGATATGGTATGTAGATGGAGTTTCAATTAGTCAAGTGATTTGCAAGAAACTTATTTAAAGCAAAAAAAGCCAGGCTAAGAGGTAGAAACTATGAGAGTGCTGCTCTCATCAGCACCACAGCATATTGCATTTCTAACAAGCTTGCCAGAAAGGTGCCCTTAATATGCTACTGCTTTTTCATATTTATCTGAAAGTACTGATGTGACTGTGTTCAAAAACTTTTTTTACTGCCAATGTATTTGTACTGTCAGTGGGAAAAAAAAAGCCAACGCTTTATTGGAGGCTTGAAATTGCAGAAAAGACACAATTGGAAGAATCCTTTACGTAGTGATGTGAAGGGAATTTAGTTGTTGTGTATGGTTCATAGAAACTCTTTTAGCTGGACTTAAGGCAGTTATTAAATAATAATTCTGGAGGACAATACTGTTCAGCTTTGAATTGATCCTGTGTAAATACAACTTTCTTTGTAGGAAAGCAAACCATGGGGTTTCCAGTGTATAACTACAAGGACCGCTCAGATAACAAGTTGTACCTCCTCCATACCCCTCAGAGCCCTCTGGTGAGGCCCAGAATGTATGACTATTATGGTATGGACAGCTACCCAGTCGGTACCAATTCAGTTGTGGCTGTCATCTCCTATAGTGGCTATGACATGGAAGATGCAATGGTAAGTGTGAGGAATTACATTGTCCTGCAAAGGAATTTAGCATGGGCAGTTGTAAAGAAGGGTGGTATGCAGTTGAGAAGAGCCCTTTTTCTGCTTTTGCTAGTTCCATTAGAATTGATACAGGAACTCAGCTGTTAAGCACCTTCTGCAGTAATGTTCAGGGTAGTGAGAGTAGAGCAGAGCTCCATTGTGCAAGGCTGTGGGCTTCCAGCATTGATTTAAAAAAAAAAAAAAAAAGAGGAAAAAAAATGGGATTGGAGGAGACCTGAGCCTGTTGGAGTGATGATTGGCTGGGAGGTGTTTGTTTTTTTAATGTAGGAAGGTGTGCATCAGATCAGAACGGAAATTCTTTTTTTGAAGATACTAACAAGTTTTTAACATCCTTTTTTTCTTTCTCTTAGATTGTGAACAAATCTTCTTGGGAGAGAGGGTTTGCTTACGGAAGTGTTATCAAGATGGAGAGCATTGACCTTTCCCTTAAAGCTAGCAGGGGAGGTGATAATTTAGTGTTTGGTATCAGGCCTGGGGACCCAAATATTAAGGAGAAGTTGGATGCTGATGGACTGCCTTTTGTTGGCTCCATCCTGCAGCCCGGGGACCCATTCTACAGCTACATGAACCTTAACACAGGGGAGACCTTCACTGTGTACTACCAGTAAGTTCAGCTTGTTCCTCCTGTCTCCAAACATACATAGTGGACCCTGATCAGCTGCTCTTTTAGGTATTGCCTTTTCTCCTCACACAGCACTTAAGGTATCCATGTGTTCATGGAGCATGAAATTGATGCATGTTTTGTGGCTTGGAGTCAGTGTATGCTGAAGAGCTGCAGCATCTAGGATATAAGACTAGGAATGGTAAAAAGAGAGAATTTGCAGAAATTTTTTGCTGTCCCCCAATATTGTTCCTTTGTCCATCTCTGTCATTTTCTGCAGTATTGTGTTAACTGAATTGGGTTCTTGGTCCCCAAAGACTTGCCAGTCTCTTGTCAATACAACTTCATGCCCTACCTGCACCATTTATACAGTGAAGATCATACTATTTAGTTATTCATGATTAGAAAGCAAATTAGCTTATTGGATAAGCTAATTGGAGAGCAGAATAACCAGTCTTACTGGGAAAGCTATCTGTTAATAATACACTATGAGTGCATTGAAACTGTGTTGGAGAGATTGCTGGTTGTAGAGCAGAGCAGAGAGATTCAGTACGTGGCAGTGAGGATTGCCAGAACTTGATGCTGTCGGCTCAGCCTTATGCTCCTTCCACTTGTGAATCCTGTTTTGGCTCCCTACTCCATATTCCTGTTTGCCAGCTCTTTTGTGCCAGCCTCACCTTAGTTCAGGTTCCTTACCCAGAGAGCCATTTTACCTGTGTACTCTGCAGCATTTGTTCATTACAGTTCTAGATGAGGTAACTGTTTAGGTTCCTATGGGGAGGTTCCCTGCTCTCACTGTTAGCTCATGCCCCAAGTTTTCCCAGAGACCCTGCAACCTGAAGGGGCAGTTCCCCCTACTGTCCTACACATACTGCTTGGATCTTAAACTTGGCTTGGAAGGGGCTTTGACTCAGAACTTTCATGAAGCTGGGAAGAGGCTTATGAAGCAATTTTTGAGTGTTTTTGTTGTTGTTTGGGGATGGCCTATACTGTGGTTGCATTTTGGCACAGTAGAAGAATAGCTGTAAAACAGAAGCTAATCATAAGGGCAGGCCTTCTGTAAGCACTAAAGGGACTTCAGAGGACAAAGAAAAAACTAATCCTGTTGTAATGTGGTTGAAATTTATTCATTTCTTAAGAGTTTGGGCTGCAAGCTCTGTGACAGGAGTTAAGAGTGCAACAGACATCCAGCATGTGAAACATCTGCTGAGGGTTCGCTTGAAACAGCAACGTAGCCCTGAACACCTGTTGGCAAAGGCCCACTCAGCTGCCTCTGCTATCTGCTCCTGAGCTTTTCTCTCAACTTTGCCCTAAACTTGTTCATTTATGCTAGCGTCCCACCAGGGCAGTGTTAATTTATTGTGTAGGAAAATGCTGCCTTGAAAGAAGACAATTGGCACGTCTGATTGGCTGTAGTACTGATGAACCAGGTTTAAATAATTTTGACTTTATTATCATGGGTGACACATTACCTCATCACATGGAAGTTGCAGTTGTGCTGCTAGCATTAGAAACAGCAAACAAATGGCACTTGGGTGATACCTTTGTTTGACTGCTGTGCTCTAATTCTTGTGCAGTCTGATTTCCCTGAATGACATTCTTCAAAAAAAGTGGTGATCCCCAGCTCTTCATTGGATTTAAAAGTGGGTTGGTTTCTTTGTTTCACTTCAAAGTCATGAGCATATCTGATACCTTTGCTGTGAATGTTTTTCCACCTACGCAGGAATAAAGAAGTTGGCATTGTGGACAACATCAAGCTGTGCAGTAATGACCGTGGCACTGGGAAATTCAAGAAGGCTTGCATCACTGTGAGAGTTCCTCGAAACCCAACTGTTGGAGACAAATTTGCCAGCCGCCATGGGCAGAAGGGCATCCTGAGCCAGCTCTGGCCTGTTGAAGACATGCCATTCACGGAGAATGGGATGGTTCCAGACATCCTCTTCAACCCCCATGGGTTCCCCTCCCGTATGACCATCGGGATGTTAATTGAGAGCATGGCGGGGAAGTCAGCAGCGCTGCACGGCGCCTACTACGATGCCACTCCCTTCACCTTCACGGAAAAAAACTCCGCCTTGAAGTACTTTGGTGAGACTTTGGTGAGCGCGGGCTATAACTTCTTTGGGACAGAAAAGATGTACAGCGGAATCAGCGGCGTGGAGCTGGAGGCAGACATCTTTGTGGGAGTCGTGTACTACCAGCGCCTGCGCCACATGGTCTCAGACAAGTTCCAGGTGAGGACTACAGGACCCCGGGATTCTGTCACCAACCAGCCCGTCAAGGGGAGGAACGTGGAAGGGGGGATTCGCTTTGGTGAGATGGAGCGTGATGCGCTGTTGGCTCATGGCACCTCCTTCCTGCTGCACGACCGCCTGTTCAGCTGCTCCGATGGCTCAGAAGCCTATGTTTGCACGAGCTGCGGCAGCATGTTATCTCCTCTGCTCCAGCGCCCACCACCTTCCTCTGTAGCAAGCAACAGGAGGTATTCCTGCATGCTCTGTGGCAGGATGGACACCATCCAGGTCATCCCCGTGCCCCACGTCTTCCGGTACTTCTTGGCAGAGCTGGCAGCCATGAACATCAAGCTAAGGCTCACGCTGGAGCAGTAATCCTGCAGTGAGAGGAAGGCAGCACGCCTTAGTTCTGCCTTTGCCCCCTCTGGGTTTCAAGGGTTAAGTTCTCAGGTTTGTCAAACAGTTACAAGGTTAACTTCATGTTTGCGTTGTGATGGGGTGAAGCCGCATCGTGCAGAAATGCGGTCCCATTGGTGTTTGTTTGCACGTTGTAAAAGATTGCTATTGCAACGTGGGTGGAAATCAAGCAGGATCACTGTTCCTATGGGCTTGAAGGCGGTGAGAGTTTTTTGTTCGCTAAGAGCTGGCAGCAGCTGCAAAGATGATAGGTCACAAACAGCATGAAGTGAATGCTGGGAGTGACAGTGCATTGCACTTTTTTGTCATTATTTTATTTTTTCAATATTTTGACCCAAAGAAGAAAGCAGATAGCTTTCCAGCCCAGCTCTTACCTTGGCTCCAGCGCTCCTCAGGTCATAGAGATGCACAGTCACAGGCAGGTTCTCAGCCCTCGGGCAGTAGTACAGGCCTGGGGCAGACTATGTTCCCAAGCCCCAGCGGTAGCTGTGGCCTCTCCTTCTGTATGAGCCTCGTCTGGTTGGCACCAAGGAGATTTTTATACTTCTTGTTAAGAGTTCTTTATATGTTTCTTTAAAAAAAAAAAAAAAAAAAAAAAAAAAAAAAAAGCATTTAAAGCTGTGTCTGCAGCCAGCCTTGCTCCATCCTCCTGGGAGATCCAAGGGCATCCGGGGGGGCAGCAGGGCCTCCTGGCTGCCAGAGAAGCTCAGGGCTGGCCTGGGCGGTTCTCCCAGGGCTTGGGAGGCCGCGGGAGGCGGGAGGCTGTGGGGATGTCGTTCGTGGGTGATGCGTTGGGGCACCGCACACCAGCTGGGGCCTGGCCCCTCTGCACCATCTGCAGCAGCTCAGCAAATGAAGGAGGGGGGGCTGGGGCTACGGTGGCTGGGGGGGCTGTGTCCTTCATCTGCTCCGTCACAGCGCTGCCCGGCTCCATCATGGCGCTGTCTGTGGCCGTACCACTGCAGCAGGGGGGGAGGAAGGGCGCTACCATGTGTGCGGGAGGGGGAGGCGGGCAGCTCTGGGATGGGAAAGTAGTGAGGCGATGGCACTCGTGCCAGGGGCTGTCTCTGGCCCGTGCCCGCCTCCTTCTCACTGCCTTGCCCCAGGTGCAGCTCAGAGCAGCTGGGAGCAGGTGACAGTAACGGTTGGGGGCTGAGCGACCACTCTGCTGCTGCTGCTGCTGCTGCTGCTGCTGCTGCTGCTGCTGCTGCTTCCATGGAGGTGCCCTGGTTGCTGCTGGCCTCTGCTGTGCTCCTGCCCTGTGAGTAGCCAGCAGGCGGGTTGAGGTGGTGGGTGTGGAGTGGGCTGGCGGCCACCGAGCCTAGCTGTGAAGGCTAGGCCCAGCGCAAAGCCTTAACCTGCATCCTTGCAGCCTGCAGGGCCACCAACCCCCTGCCCGTCCTTTCCCCGCCACTGACCATGGTGGTGTCAGGGCAGCAGCGGCGGCTGGTGGTGTGTGTGGTGAGCGAGCTGCCCGCAAGCTCCGGCCATGCCGTCTGGATCTCCAGTGGGAATAGCAGTGCTTTGCAGTCCTTTGCCTACGGGGCTTCACAGGAGGAGGGTGGCACCGTCTGTGCAGTTTCCATCCTCCCTGACAGTCCCATGGAGCAGGAGCTCCTGGCGTGCCATGTTGGGCCCAACAGCAGCGCTCCAGCCCATAGCTCCAACCTCATCCCAGTTGCAGGTACGGACGGGGGCCCTGCCTGGAACCAGGGCTGTGCCAGCAGGCAGCAGGCGTGTGGCCCTGCGGGTGAATGTTACAAAGGGGTTTGTGGCAGCCCCCTCCTCGCTGTTCCTCATCCCGCAGGCAGCGATGAGGAGGCAGAGCTGTGTCCCAGAACCCCCGAGGGTGAGTGCAACGGGGACGACGTGCCTTTAGGGGGATGCCATAGGGCCTGCAGCCACGCTGATGTCCCCTCTGTTTCAGAGCCCCGCGCCTGTGCTGCCGTAGCCCTGCTGGTGGCCGCGCGGGTGGTGCTGCTGAAGGCAGCGCTCCTCGACGCCCTGCTCACCGCCCTGCTCCTGGCCCGGCGCTGAGGGACCAGGCCGGGCAGGGAGGAGTCCCCCGGAACGAGGGGCAGACCCAGTATGGGTGAAGGTGTGGGAGCGGAGCGGAGAGGAGCCCGCGGAACGGGGGCCCGGAAGAACCTCGGAGCACGGCGTGCGATGGGACGGACAAGGACCCTCCGGCGCGGGCCCGCGGGAAGCCAGCGGAGAGGGCGGGGCTTACTCGGCGGGCCGGGCGGCGATTGGCCGGGCGTGCCACGCGGGCCGCTGGGGTTGGCAGTGGCGGTGGGTTGCCGTGGTGACGGGGGCGGGGCGAACGCCCGGAAGCGGAGCCATGGCGGCGGAGGGTCCCGCCGCGTTGCTGCTGCTGCTGCTGCTGGCGGTAGCGGGCGGCGACGACGCGGACTGGGTGCGGCTGCCCAGCAAGTGCGAGGGTGAGCGCGGCCGGGGGCGAGGGGAGCGGGGCCGGGAGCGGGCCGGGGCGGAGGAGGCCCGGTCGCGGCAGCCGGGCCTTCCCGCAGCACCCGGAAGTGAAGGGAGCCGAGGCTCCGCCGGGGCCGGGCCTCGCCTCGCTCTGTCTGTGCCGTGCAGGGACGTGCGGGGCTCCGCGGCGAGGAGGAAAGGAGGAGAAGCTGCGGCGGAGCTCTTTGTGCGGCTCCCCCGCCCGGGAAGACGCTCCGGAGGTGCCGGGTGACCGCACGGCCGCTGCCCGCCTAGCACGGGACCGCTGTGAGCCATTGCAGCGCAGGGCCGGGCTCGCTCCCGGCGGAGGGCACTGCGGAACGGCACGGAGCCCTGCGGAGCTCCGGGGCAGGAAGGGCCGTGCCGAGCCCAGCCTCCGTCCCTCCACGCCTGCAAACCCCCATTTCCTCCTGCTCACCGTTCCTGTCTCTCTGTTGGACTGTCTGTTACAGCTGAAATAAAATTTTGTTTCCCCCCTCCCCTCTTTCGTTCATTTATCGTTTCTAAAAGCGTGGCAGAGCACCGCCGGCAGTGCAGTGCCCTGCAGTAGTGATGCAACCCCTGCAGCTCTGCACCCATGTGCCTGGCTGCCTTCCTGTGTGGGAGGCACAGGAAAGGGGTGACTCGCAGTTCCCTGTCCCCATGGGAAGTGATGAGCAGGTGAAGCAGACACTGGAGTGGCTGCCCTCTGCTCTCCTGGCTGTAGCAGTGTGGCTGCACTAATACTGAAGCACTATTCAGGGCCTCCTACTCCAGGAGATCATCAGTCAGGATGCTGCTCTTCGTTTCTGTGAACAACGATGGTGACCGTGCCCTGTGAGCTCTTCTCCCAGCACCAAGTTCCTCCTCCGGACCTACTGACCTGCTATGCTTTCCCTCCTGCAGTGTGCAAATACGTGGCATTGGAGCTGAAATCTGCTTTTGAAGAGACCGGCAAGACCAAGGAGGTCATCGACACTAAGTATGGCTTCTTGGATGGGAAGGGCGCTGCTGTCAAGTACACACAGTCGTAAGTAAAAACAGAAGAGGCTGAGTCCCTCATCTGGAGCATGGAAATGTGCCAGGTTGCTTCCTCCTGATCTTGGAGGCTGTTCTGGGGTGTACTTCCAAGCCGTTCCCATTCTTCCTCTCTGTGCAGGGACATCCGGCTCATTGAGGTGACAGAGAACATTTGCAAGAGGCTGTTGGACTACAACCTGCACAAGGAAAGGAGCGGCAGCAACAGATTTGCAAAGGTGGGTTTCCTTCCTGGTGCTGAAATGTGGTCGGTTCATCAAGGTGCCAGCTGACAGCAGGCAAGGCTGTGCTGCTCTGGGGTGCTGTCCTGAGGGGGAGGTGGGCCAGAAGGGAGCCAGGTGCCATCCCACATAGGCCTTCCTACTGTGTTTAGGATGTGCTCAGTGCAGAGAAGGACTGGTGGGCACGTAACACCTCAGTGTTGGCTGCCTCAGGTCTCTCTGTGCCCCCACGCACAGCCTCACTGCATGGCTCTGTTCTCCCCAGGGCATGTCAGAGACATTTGAGACCCTGCACAACCTGGTGCACAAAGGTGTCAAGGTGGTGATGGACATTCCCTATGAGCTGTGGAATGAGACCTCTGCCGAGGTGGCGGATCTCAAGAAGCAGGTACCTTCTTGCTGGGGTCAGTGTGCTGCGGCCGTGTGGGCTGGAAAGGGCTCAGCAGGTGTGGGGATGGGATCAGGGCTCTGCCACGTGCTGGTGCCAGGCTGTCCTCTCCCTGTCAGTGTGATGTGCTGGTGGAGGAGTACGAAGACGTGATTGAGGACTGGTACCGGCACCACCAGACAGAAGATCTCTCCCAATTCCTCTGTGCTGACCGCGTGCTGAAAGGGAAGGATGCCAGTAAGTCCTTGGGGCTGCCTGGGGCAGTGCATGCCTGTGAGAGCACAGGGAATCCAGCAAGGGCACGGGGAGCCCTATGTGTTCCTCAGGGCCCTCTCTCCCCCTGCCCAGGCTGCTTAGCAGAGAAGTGGACCGGCAAGAAGGGGGACTTGGCAAGCGCGGGGGAGAAGTCGAGCAAGAAGAAGAGCGGGAAAAAGAAGAAGAAAGCCGAGAAGGAACAAAGCGAGGGTGTCGAGAGCTTCTCCCCGGAGGAGAGCGGAGTGCAGGAAACCACCCCGCTCCCCCACAGCCCCACCGACGAGCTATAGGCAGCGGCTCGCAAGGACTGAGCGGGGAGAAAGGCTCTCCCCCGTGCCACAGCCGCGGCTTCCGGCCCACCACGGTACGGACTCATTCCCCCACGGCGCGCAGGGCCGGGGCCGCGTCCTCTCAGCGCCCGCAGCTCGGCAGCCCGGGACCTTGCGGCGCCGGGGCTGCGAATAAAGACCTTTTTCGCGGAGCGCCGCTACGCTGCTTGCCCCGCGCTGCCGGGTCGGCTCCCGGAGGCTCCTCCCCGCGGGGGGGCGGGGCGAAGGGGAGTGGCGGCGGCGGCGATTGGCGGCCCTGGGGGGCGGGGCGGGGCGGGAGAGCGGTGGAGCGGCGGCGGGGCCGCGGCGGAGCGGGGCGGCGGCGGCGGGATGGTGGACAGCGTGTATCGGACGCGCTCGCTGGGGGTGGCGGCGGAGGGGCTGCCGGATCAGTATGCGGACGGGCGGGCGGCGAAGGTCTGGCAGCTGTACATCGGGGACACGCGGAGCCGCACGGCCGAGTACCGCAGCTGGCTCCTGGCGCTCCTCCGCCAGCACCGCTGCCGTTCCGTCCTCGACGTGGCCTGCGGCACAGGGTAAGGCCCCTTCGTCTCCGCGTCCCTCCCTTCCCTCTCCCTTCCCTCTTCCGTCCCGCTGACGGCGCTGTCCCCAGGGTGGACTCCATCATGCTGCTGGAGGAGGGCTTCCAGGTAACCAGCGTGGACGCCAGCGACAAGATGCTCAAGTACGCGCTGAAGGAGCGCTGGGAGCGGCGCAAGGAGGAACCCTTCGACCGATGGGGTGCGGGCCCGGGGGGGGGCGGGGGGCTGCGGCGGGGGGGGGGGCGGCGAGAGGGGGAGGAGGAGGGGAGTGGAGGGTCCTTGCGGAGGGACCCTGCCTTCATCCTCCCCGCGTGCCACAGTCATCGAGGAGGCCAACTGGCTGACGCTGGAGCAGGACCTGGAGAAGCCTGGGGACGGCTTTGATGCTGTCATCTGCCTGGGGAACTCCTTCGCGCACCTGCCTGACTTCAAAGGTGAGGCTCAAAGGTGGTGCTGCGGCTGGAGGGATCAGGGGCTGCCGCACACCTGTCTGGAGGGAGGCTGAGGATGTGCCCTAACTCATGGCACAGGTAGATTGCGCTAGGTGGCAGTGTGTCTGAGAACAGACGCTGCTTTGAGGCTCCATGGAGCCACTGTGGCGGTGGTAGAGCTGTGTCACTTTTGTCTGTGTCACTTTTGCCTGGGCCGAAGGCACACCCAGACCTGTACCATGTGTGGGGCTGTGGGTTCCCCACACTTCCCTGGGGAGGCTGAGAGCGTGCCTGAACTCATCACAGGGGTGGAGCTGCGGGTGCCCCGAGCCACAGGCTGGGGAAACCGTGTGGGTTTGTGTGGATGTGGGGGCACAGTCCATGCCTGGGGACGCTGGGCTGTTCTCCCCAGGGGACCAGAGTGACCACAAACTGGCCCTGAAGAACATCGCCAGCATGGTACGGCCCGGCGGCGTCCTGATCATCGACCACCGCAACTACGACCACATCCTGGCCACCGGCTGCGCGCCGCCTGGAAAGAACATCTACTACAAGGTGGGCGGCTGCCATCCCTGCCCCATCCCGCTGCCCTCTGCCACAACCCCGTTCCCCAGGCTGGGGCCAGGGACAGCGGAACACCAACATTCCACTGTCCCCAGAGCGACCTGACCAAGGACATCACCACCTCAGTGCTGCTGGTGAACAACAAGGCCCACATGGTGACCCTGGACTACACCGTGCAAGTCCCCCCGACGGAGGCGGGGGCCGCCCCGGAGCTGAGGTGAGAGGGGCTGCATGGGGGTCCCAGCTGAGGTCAGGCCTCGGTGCCTGAGGCCCAGCCTCATGGCCATTGCTTCCCTGCAGCAAGTTCCGCCTCTCGTACTACCCGCACCGGCTGGAGGCCTTCACGGCACTGCTGAAAGGTGCCTTCCAGGGGAAGTGCCAGCACAGCGTCCTGGGTGACTTCCAGTCCTACACGCCGGGTCAGGCCCACGTTCCCTGCTACTTCATCCACGTCGTCAAGAAGACTGCCTAAGGGGCTGCGGTGACAGGACTGTGGTGGCAGAGCACTCTGAGTTGCTCTGGGGACAAACAGGCGGCTGGGGACTTCGCAGAGACCCACCCAGCAGCCAACTGCTGTTAATTAAGAGCATCTATGAGAGCAACCGGAGCCCATGGTTCGTGTGTCCATCTGTGGGGTGAGCCGCCGTCAGCTGGGGGGGCCTGGAGGGCGCAGGGCCTGGTGGGCATGGCCTCATCCCAGCCCTCTATTCCCAGCCCATGCCCCAGTGCCAAGGGTGAAGTGCAGGGCTGGTGCCTGAGTGGTGGCACAGCCCCACAGCCTCCAAGAGGGCACTGAGCCCCACGGAGCGCCATCTGGAGGTCCACATAGGTGGGGAGGTTACAGACACCCAGCTGAAATGCTTGGTGCAGCTACAGTTCACTTCTTACCCACCCTGCAGAGCTTGGGATCAGATCCAGTTGAGTGTCGCAGCCATGGCCTGCTCTGCCTGAACATGCTCCATGCTGGAGCACTCATTAGCCAGGCCACCATGCATGAAGGGCCTGCAGCTGGTGGAGGAGTGGCCCTCTGGGGAAAAGCACGGTGGGGGCAAGCTCCTTGCCAGCCACACGTGGCTCTGCAACACTACTGGCAGCAGCTTTGGTGCCACTAACACAGAGGGCTGAGGCTCTGCCCGTGAGCTGCAGGAGCAGCTGCCGGGAGCTGGCAGCCACGAGGTGGACATGAAGGCAGCTGCCAGCTGGCTGACACACGGCCCCAGTGTGGGATTTATTTGGGATCCGTGGTGGAGGGCAGGAAGCAGCGCACATGTGGCAGGGCCAGCAGCTGCCCAGAGGCTGCAGTAAGAGGCGAGGCAGGAGCAGGAGTGTGCGCTTGGCTCAGATGGAGCAGCTCATGGCTGCTCCAGCCGGGAGGTGGGGTAAGTACTGACCCCCTCGTCACTAGGACAGGTTTTGCCTACCAGTTAATGGGAGTTTCCTTTGCTGGACTTGTCCCCACTGCATTTTGTCCTGGCCCCCCTGTGGTGGATGTACAGGAGTGGATGCAGCCCTGCAACCCCAGCCACTAGTTTCTCTGTGATACACAGCCGCCCCCTGGGCTGGCACAGCCCATCCCAAGCCCCCAGCAAGAGAGCACAAGTGCTGAAAGCTGAACAGAAACCTATATTTATTTGTAGAGTGCAGGGCAAGGCCAGGCCCATGGCAGCAGTACTGCCCCACAGTGGCCCTGTACTCCAGCCAGCTCCCCACAGTGGGGGGCTGCCACCCCAACAGGAGACTACTGCCACCCTGTAGAGCCATCCTTGCTTCCCTGTCAGTGGTCTGTCCTCTCAGCATGCTCCTGGCAGCCAGGTGCTGCTCCCCCTACACTAAAGGGGCTGTTAAAGAGTCCCCCACCAGGTCAACACCCACACAAGGCTTTGCCTGACAAAACTGCATGGCCATTTTTTCTGCCAAGATTGAAAAAGGAGAAGCAGGAGCAATAGGAAGGTAGGAGGTGGGTGTCTCTGCCCCAGATCTCTCACGCCCCTTAGCTCCATCATCCCTTTGCTCCTCCAGTTCCAGCTCTCCTGAGCCTTATTAGCAGGCAGCAAACTTTTGCTGGATGAGTTTGTACCTGAGGAGCTCCTGCTCAGAGACTGATGGCTGCAACCTTGCAGCAGCCTGCAGGAAGTCTTCCATGGTGAGTATGAGAGCAGAGCTCTCTGTATCCAACCCTGTGTAAAAAAGAATGAGAACAACCTGAGAGCAAAGCCAGGGAGCATAGCATAGCCTCCAGTCCTTTTTCGAGATAGAGAAGGGGAAAGAAAACTGCCTCTCCCCTCCCCACTGAGGCCACCCAACATGCAATCACACATGGCAAAAGCACCTGCTAGCAACCCACAGCCTTGCACTTAGAGATGGCCCAGAGCCATTGGGGCTCTTCCCTCCAAGCCCAACTACTGCTATAGCAGTACTAACTGCCCTCTGTCTCTGTGCTGAGGAACTCCAGCACATGGGGTGAGGAGGGGCTGGGCTCATACCCTCCTCGATCCATTCCACCTTGCGTTTGACAGCACACATCATGGCATCTGAGCACAGTGAGTAGATATCAGCTCCTGTCAGCTGAGCTGGGCACTCTTCTAGGATGCTGCTGAGGTTCACAGAAGGATCCAGTTTAAACCTGCCAAGAAATAAAGCTGCAGGTGATGAGAGTGTGGGAGACAGGCAGCAGCCAGAGCAGCTGGGCAGGAGGGATCACAGGCCACAGAGTCACACCCCATGTTTAGCAACTTCTGGACTCTGCTCTTCGTGCTTCAGAAAAATCAAAGCGTTCTGCTTGGTTGGTCGATTTTATGTTTTGTTGTGTCTTTTTTGTTTTCTTTTTTAAACCAGTCATTTCTTTGCAACAACCCCACAGCAGTGTCCTTTCTACTGCCCAGTAGGATCAAAGGCAACTTGCGTTCTCACTCAGTGAAATTAAGTGCTCTACACACCTGTGAACAGCCTACAGCAAGGGCTGAATAACAACATTTAATTACAGACAGTGCTAACCACTGAGACACCAAACCACCCCATCACAGTCATGCTGCAGACAGGGAGCCTCCTACAGCCCAGTGCTGGAGGGCATGGCTGCCAAGCCACATGGTATGGAATGTGCGTACAGCCAGCCTACGCTGTCACCTCTCCTTCCAGCCCATCTTTGAAGGCAGCAGTGATCACAGCTATCCCGCTCCGCAGCACTCAGACATGAGGCCAAGTTGGAGCACATCAGCCCCAGGAAGGCTGCTACCCATCAGAAAGCAGTGGAAGGGTGCTGGAAGAGGCCAGGCTCACTCACTTCCTGGTGACGGCACTCAACACCTGCAGCTGTGACTCCCGGTCTTCATTTACGCCCACATAGACCAGCTTGTCAAATCTGTCAGCAGAGAAAAGAGACCATCAAGAACAGGCCACTGCTGGCAACTAAAATAGTGCCCTGGGGCAGCTGCTTTGGATGTCAAGTCCTTGGAAAACAGAAAACTTTCTGGGGATGAGGGGTGCAGATGATACGCTGGAGGTCAAGGCTGCTCTTCAGAGGGACCTTGGAAAGGCAGAGAAATGG